TTATATGCCAACTCGTATATACGTAAGTCAGAATGAGTCACTGAGCCTCATTCTCTTAGCCATTTTAAATCTCAGTTTATTCATGTTACAAATTAGGGAACTAAACCAATTATAGAACCAATGTTCCATAATTCTATATGGGTACAATATAAATGGTGACACTATTTTTCAATGTGGTATTAAAAGAAAGAAGCGTTCTTGGAGGTAGAAAAGATGTGCACCCAGTACAGTTTAGTGTGTGTGTGTGTGTGTGTGTGTGTGTGTGTGTGTGTGTCTGTGTGTTTGTTTTAAAAGTATTAGAAAATTTAAAGTCTTAAATGATTAGAATCAGCTGGGCAGGTAGACATGGTGTGTGATGGTCAGTGGGAGTTTTATAAGAAAAGGAATTTGGTTTGGGATATGAAGAAGAGGAATAGGATTTAACAGAGAGTTGAGGATTGAAGGCATTTATGGAAGAAGGAATAAGGTAAACAATGCCAGTACAGGGCAAATCAAGAGCAGGAGCAGAGTCTAAGTTGACTGGAAGAAAGGTTTTACATAAGAGGAACAGTGAGATTTTATTCTGATGGGTTTTGCAGCCAGGGACTTGGGAGGCTGTATGTGCATCTGTGTGTTGTAGGCATTGATAGGATAATATGAGGTCACTGATCCTATCAAGAGTAGTGTTTTTAGTGTTTAGGGTGATTAAGCTTGTGTGATGGGCAGGATGGCTAGGAGGCAAAAAGAAAAAAAGATGATGGAAGTGATTGTAATAGAGTCGGTGTAAGATGAGAAGACAGTTACCCAAGGTAGTGTCTGTGGGAATGGAAGGAAAAATTGACAGATCTTGCTACTGAATGAATAGAAGAATGAGGTAGAATGATTATTCAAAACTTATTAGCAAGTTGATGTGGATAACTGCTATGAACAGAAAGATAAACATAAATTATGGGGCCAGAAAGTGGATTTCATGTATTCAGTCAACAAATACGTATACTATAGGATTGCTCTCTGTGCAGCAGGAGCTACAAATTAAACATGAAGGATAGAGTGGTACAAACAGTTCCTTGCCCTTGTGAAATCACATTCTACTATAGAAGGTAGACAATAAACAAGTAACAAATAAATAATAAGAGATTTTCAGAGAGCAGTAGGTGTATAAAGAAAAAAAATAGGGTGAGGGCTAGAGAGAATGGGGTTTGGTAATGTTGTGGGTCATTTTATTTTAGATAGAAACAATTTCTCTAGGAGAAGGCAATATTTTTGCAGACACATGAATGAATGGGAGAGCAAGAGGGAAAGATTTCCAGAAATACAATTCCAGGAGGAACAAATGATAAGTGTGAAAGCTTCCAGGCAGGAACATATCTGGCTTCTTTTTGGAATAGCAAAGTAGTTTCTGTGGGTGGAGAGGAAGGGGGAATTAGGCAGGTGCCAGATCATGTAGCACCTTGCAGGCCATGATCGAGAGCACTTAGTGTTTTGAGTGCTATGGGAAGTCACTGGAAGGGGAAAATGGCAAACTTACTCAGTTGCATTTCAGGTAAGCCATTGAAGATAGCAGTATTCCCACAAGAGTGGATGTGGTCTGAAATTGCAGATACAGGCTAGCAGATTTGGGGGAACAGTTCTCCCAGTCCATTATGTTTAGATAAAGAATGGTATAAATCTGGCAGCATTTTGATTACTTGGTCTTTAACTCCTAATTACCCAGATCAGGTGGGAAAAGCTGTTCTAACTAGAAAATTGTTATTCCCATGAGTATAATTCGTGATTTATAAGCAACACATATTTCCTCCCCTTTCTTCTACCTAAACTTGGAAACAGATTTTTTTTTAAAAAATTAGTTTTGTCAAATCTAACATTCTTAACATTAATTTCTATGCTGTATCTGTTAAATATGGTCTTAGATAGGAACCAATTCTGACCTTAATATTTCTTTGAGCATCTATGATTACTGATAATGTAGAGCCATCTGAAGCTTTGGGATTTCTCTAGAACATTTATGTGTGTACTGAAACCATTTATCTTGTTGAGTCTTTGGGGACTGCTCAGATTGATTACTGTGCAATGCCTGACATCTGGTGGTCACAATTGGGTATTGTCACTCTACTTGTTTTTTTATATTTATTATACATCCATTGTCATTTTGAGAAATATTTTTTTAAAAAATTATGTACTCTTTCCATCCTTGTTTGCAAAATAATAGTTTCAGAGAATCATGAGGATTGATATAAGAGGGAACATTTTAGCAATATGAGGATTATGTCCAGATCTCCTAAAGTAAAAGCAATTGTCTGTACTACAAAAGAATCTGGTATAGAAAATTACAGCAGAGAAGCTGCCTACTCACTGAAGAAGCCTAGGAAATGAGGTGATGTGTTACTTCAGAGCCAGCCCCCATATATTGTGGATTCCTGTTCTCTCTTTGACTCTTAATTAAGTCTGATCTTTGTTTCAGATGTGACTGAGACTCACTGCCTCAGTTCTCTTAGATATGACTCCTTCAAAATCCTTTACTTCTTACTACCATCTGTTTATCTTGTTTCTACCTATGTCCCTCCATCCTACACACATACTCTCTGGTACCCTTTCCATTTTTTTTATTCATTGTGCTCATTCTTGCTATTCAACTTGTGAATAAATTTTAGGAGTAGAGATCATTGACCAAGAAGTCCTATCTTTATGGAATCTTTGACACTTTGCCTAGCACCCTAATATTCATTTCCTACAGTGTGTGACAATCATAAATAGTGAAAAAGTAACCTATGGAATATGAGGAGATATTTATAAACTATACATCTGATAAGGGATAAATTTTCAAAGTATGCAAGGAACTCAAACAACTCAGTTGCAATAAAACAAACTAATTAAAAGTGGGCAAAGGACTACAAAAGAGACATACAGTAGGTTTGTGAAAAAAATGCTTGTGAAAAATAGATTCTCAGGAAATACAAATCAAAATCACATTGGATATCACCTCATATCTGTTATATTGGCTATTATCACAAAGATAAGAGATATCAAGTGTTGGTGAGGATGTGGAGAAAAGTCAGCCCTGTATACCATTACTGGGAATGTAAATTAGTTTAGCCATCATGGAAGAGAATGTTGGTTTCTCAAAAAATTAAAGTAGAATTATCATATAATGTAGTAATACAATCACAGGTATATATCCAAAGGCAATGAAATTGCAGCATTTTCACAATAGCCAAAATACTGAACCAACCTGTTTCCATCAAAGTTGAATCTATTAAACTATGTGATTTACATGCACAATGGAATACTATTCATTCAAATAAAAAAATGCTATCTTGACATGTTCAACAACTTGGAAGAATCTGAAGAACATTATGCTAAGTAAAGTAATTCAGGCATTTATCAGAAAGATAAATGCAGTGTGATCTCACTCATGGAATCTCAGAGTCAATTAAATTCAGTAGCTCTATTATACAACATGGTGTTTACAGTTAATAACAGTGTATTATGTATTTGAAAATTGCTAGAGAGTAAATTTTAGATGTTCTTATCACAAAAAACATATGTATGTAAGGTAGTGGCCAAATTAAGTATTTGAAGTAGGTTATTCCAAAATACATATGTGTGTGTACACACACACACATTTATCTATATTTAGATATATATATCTCAAAACACCATGTTGACAGCACACAAAATTTTGGTCAATTAACAAAAAAAATCACTTAAAATATAAATACTTAAAATACTTTACAACTTTATGGATTGCATTTTCATTAAAAATAATGTGTTATATTTGCCATTGCTTGAGTTCTTTTGGGAAAGTCCACTTTCTTTGTAAAAAACTATTTTATGAAACAGCTTAATGGAAGTACCATTGACCTAAAATAAAGTTCATATGTTTTAAGTGTATAATAGTGTAAGGGACCGGCGAAACGTCGGAGGAAGAGACCACCAAGAGACTGCCTCATGCAACAGCAAAAGGGTTTATTTGGGGACCAGCATGCTGGGGCTCAGTGCTCACTAGAGCAAAGAGAGAGAGCCCTGAGAACAGCTTAAGCAGAGCTTATATACTTTCCTTGGAGAGGGCAGGGAGGGAAGTTATTGACGGGTCAGGGCGAGTGGGCAGTTTGCCTTCAACCGAGTGAGGGAGTGCATCCTGCAGTTTGGAAGTTGGGGACAGCACATTCTGGGAACAAGATTAGCAAACAGTTCACAGTTGGAGACAGCACATCCTGGGAACAAGATTTCAACAGTGTTTTGTTAAGCGTATAGAAAAACAGAATGACAAGTACCTATTTTATTAACCTTTCAATAGCTAAGTGTTGGTATATGTATTTATATGTATTTATATGAGAAACCATTACCAAAATCAAAATAATTCACATATCGATAGAAAAGTTTCTTCAGGATCTTTTACAATCCCTCCCTTTTGTCCCTCCTCACTTATTGGAGCTCTTTCCTCCATTCCCAATCCCTAGGCAACTACTGTTATGCTTTTTGTCATTACAGACTAGAGTGTACATTCTAGAATTTTATAATGCAGAATTATATAGTATATACTCTTTTTATCTGGTTGATTTCTACCAGCATAATTATTTTGACATTCTTCCATGTTGCAGCAATTTTTTTTGTTTGTTTGCTGAATAACAATCCGATGTGTGGATATTACAGCAGTTGTTAATTCATTCAGCTGCTATAGATATTTGGCTTGTTTCCAAATAGCATTCCTGTAGCCTGATTTCTTGTTTCTGAGATTGAGGTTCAGGATAACAGATCTTCACTTCAGTGAGTGATAAATAGGAAAATATGACCAGCTCAAAAAAACTTCCTCAGGAGCAAGTGTTTCTTGGTGAGGCTGGAGTGATTCTGCCAAGTCACTGACAGCCTGCCTTGGCTTTGACCTGTATCATGTTTCCTGATGAAGTGAATCACATCTGGAGTCAGGCATGTCAGTGTTAAACACAGTAGCTGATTTATGGATCCCTTGAAAGTCAGACTTAGCCTCCTAAGAGTGAGAATGTGATGTGACAGGCTACACTGCTGATGATCCTTGGGTGCTGACCCCAGGGTCTGGCTGCTTCCTAGCCTTTGAAGCTCAGGTCTGTTCTACTTATAATTTTACAAAACTTTTTTTTTTTTGTTCTCTGGCCCTCAGCCATGATTTTAGCTCAAATTCCTGTTTTTACCTGCTCCCCCCCCAATACCAATTCAAGCTGCTGCTGCAATTGAATTTTTGGATTTGGCTAGCCTTGTCTTCTGTTGGGAAGCATTAACACATGACTGACGAGAGACAAAAATTGATTAAAGAGAACATGTATTTTATATGGCTTTTTTAGAAGCATGCTATAA